TACATAATGTGCTAGGTAGGAATTGTGAGAGCACAGAGCTAAAACCACAGCTATTGCAACGCTTTTATTTGCATGCGCTGTTGCCATGTTTTGGCCACACAGAACGGGTCTCTTATTGTGCAAATCAGCATTCTCCCGTTTCAAAACTCATTTGTTCACTTATCCTGAACTATAATCGTACTCACAATGTCTGCCTGCATTATTTATGCATGGGAATTAATGCTGCACTCTTACTACGCAACACTGAAACTCAGACTGAGATACCAGTGCCTCTTCTTCTCCGAGAAGTGGATTGCAACTTTGAGGCCCGGCCCTGTGGCTGCCGTGTACTCACAACTGCAATGCAAGTGCCCCGTGGTCTCCTTGAGGTTAAGGAAAATATCCTGAAACTTTTGCATTCAGAGTGTTTGAAGCCCTGCTGCTTTTTGAATTCCAATGATATCTGCCATGGGTTTCCAAACAGTCTGGCAAGCTCTGCTAGCTTTTGTTTGGATTTCTTGATTGCCAGTGAAACAGCGTAATCTGCTGATCCGCTGAGCAGGTGAGTGGTTTTGTGAAGATGCTAAGTTTCAAGAATAAAGGTAGGTAGTGGCTTCTCTGGAAGGCTGTCTGTCAGATTGGAGGGTCCTGCAACAACTCTCTCAGGCTTCAGATGACCCCACGTCTTTGTTCAGAAGTGTGTGAACACGATCGCATGCCCTAACTGACGAGCGCAACCTCCCGCTGCCAGCCTACGAGGAAGTGAGCAGACACAGTGACAAAGCAGAGGGGATGGCCAGACACGTAGGTGGCTGATCCTCATGGCACCAGTCGTGCTGAAGGAAGGAGAGGAGGCCCTAACACACGTCCTCCTACCTTGCAATGTGTGTGGTAGGGATGGGAAGGCAATGGTGACCTCTGCTTTGTGTGCGGTGGTTCCAGTGGGGAACCGCTGCATTACATACAAGTCGTCGTGTTCCAAGGGTGACCACCTCCGTTTAATTTACTCCTTCCTACTGCTAGCCAGCGGGTAGGAGTTAGGTATCATCTGTCATTCATTCAAGAATCATTACACTATGAGTGTGGTTGGAATGGCTAAGCCACATACAGAATGAAGTACTCCCCTGACTTGGCCTGACAAAGGTTTGTTTACACCATGCATCTTCCTTTGAAACATGGTGTTCCTATCCTAGGGACCACGTGCAGATGGCCTTAATTCCACCTGTGACAATGAACCCAGTATTTAGAGGGTGCCTTTAAAGGTCTGGATTAGGCCAATAAGAGGCGTAAATCTCTGTGGAATTTAGATGATTTGAACACATCACAAAGTGTTTATCTGATGAAGTAGTAGAAAGGAGTGCTTATCACTTCAGGTAACATGTAGTTTGAAATTTCTATGGTAGTTTTCAGTTGCACTTCAAAATACTTAATAACTAAATATGGCCTTTTAGGCTGAAATATAATACACATTACTTCTTCAGGGAGGAGAGATTAAAAGTACGTTTCAAAACTAAGCACTTCAGGTAAAGAGACGTTTGCTTTATTCTCCCAGTAGAGTCGTTCTTATTTATGCATGTTGAAGAAGCTGGGCACATCGATGACAAAGGGGATGCATTGAGAGTACAGAGACTGCCTTCACTCCAGCACACTCCCAGCTTTCAACTCACATAATTCAAAGTTTATTTGCTTCCTTCTGCATGTTTTCTTTAAGGTACTTGTAAATTATACTCCTTGGCAATTGCTGCAGTTCCCTCTCCTCCTCATCCTGTCTGGGCTTTGCAGGCTCAGGTGCTGCCAGACTGATCCCACACCCTCAGCACACGAAGTACTAAAATGCCAAGTATCGCATCCCCAGGGCCTCCCGTTCTCTCACTTTAGGCTGGAAGAGGAAAGTACCAACTGTCTGTGGTGTCTATCAGAGCAGAAAGGGTGGCTGAATGGGCCACTGACTGATGACAAGGGTTTAATGGGGCACATCTAGCTGAGCCAACCATGGTCATGGAATATGAGAAAGAGACCAGGAGGCAGGCAGGGTAGAGCCTGGATGGTCTTGCCTTCTGTCTTACCCTTCTTGCTCCTTTCCCCAGTCTGCTGCTCCCAGAGCGCTTCCTTATTGCCAGGTGGTTCCAGTGTTAGCTGGGCCAAAATCTTTAGGATGTTTTCTGTTAAGGTTTTCTGAGGTTGTGGCACAGAATATCAGGAGGAGGGTGGCGTGGTGGCAGCATTTAGCTGATTATGTGCGTGAGATAAGAGAAGTGGAAACACTCACCCTTTATCATGGCAAGACCGAACGGAAAACTATGCCACAAAGAAAACTTGCCTCTCCCCACTGAAGCTAAAAGCTTGCAGGAAAACCTTTCTAGAGAAGGTCACAAGAACCTTTTATACCGGAATGCGACAAACAATCTAAAGCTCTTTCTACCCTAGATGAAGATATAAATAGTACTAAATACATGCAGTCACCAAGCATTGCACTTTTCACTTCCCTGCATGAGCCAGATCTGTGCTGTAAGTTAGCACCCCTTAGTTGAAGTGTACGGAACTGACCACGCAATGTACCTGCAGTTTGGCCCCAGGGCCTTTCAAACTTTAGGCTAACTTGCCTTGAAGAAGTCGAAGGTACGAATGATACTGCCTTGGAAGAGTGAGTCCCTCAACAGATGTTGAAGAGCTTTTAATGCAAATTCTTTAAAACTTTACTGACTCTTACATAGACATATCTTTGAAAAAAAGAGAATACCCACAATAAGACATATATTACACAATTTCCACAGAGCCATCACCTTAAATTAAAAAAAAAGCCTTGCAAATTACAATCATTCTAAAAATAAAAATAGCTTAGCCAGCTGTTAAAGAAGTGCATACATTCATCATTACTGAATGCATTACTGTTTTAAACATACATAATTCCAAAATAATCTCCTTGAAATAAACACAGCAACAGCCATAAAACATGCTGGACCTGAAACTGAAGACAAAGCAAGCAGTATTTGTTGTATTAAAACTCTGACAAAACACATTTTAATCATGTCCAGTCTTATGAATTCTAAAACAACCTGGAATGCCATTTGGCCTTCATGATTAATGTGTACTTTATCGTTATAAACAGAGCTTCCTGAACATTTCTGTGCTGAATCAACATTTAAACAATCAGCATTGCCCCTTCTCTCCTTTTATGCTGTGCTGGTCGTGTGCGGATTCTAAACGAGGTATAAGATATCAGGAATTTTCATATTTAAATAGAGAAAAAGAATTAATCACAGAAAAAAGCTGGAATTCTGAATGATCTCAGGTATTAGCTTTGTCGACTGGAATGCTAGAATTTGTGCTCTCCTTATCCATCTCAGGAATTAAAGAATTTTATGTGACACGTCTGCTGTGTTGATCAATAAAACAACATCAACCATTTACACTGCAAGTTTAGTGCAGTTTCAAGAATTTGCATTAATGAAGCCGGTAGTTGTGGCAGAATCGATAGAGAAGGCGTCTTGCTTAGTGGTGTGCATAAATGAAGTATGACTAAACTTTTAACACCCAATGAATACAGATTAAGATGATAAAATCCATATGCAGAATGTGTTCTGCAAGCTACGCAATGACAGTGTGCGTGAGAGTGTAACACACAATGAAACGTTAAAAGTATGAAGAAATTCTTACTTTAATTTTCACTCTCTGCTTCACTCAGTATTTACATTGTGAGTTTGCAGTCAGCATTCATTTTATTTTAAGACCTGTTGCAAAGGACCTCGGTAAATTTGCTGCTGTGTGTTCATCTGTCAGTTCTATAGCTTCATGTTACTTTAAATCTCTCCTCCTACTTTCCTAACCACTCATCCCCTTATTTGGCACACATTGATCTCCTAACTAGCTCCTTTCTATTGTCAGTGACGTTCCTGATGTGTCACTACTGCTATAGCAGTCAATCCTCTTTAGTTCATGACGCAGATAAAAGGAATGAAACTGGTTTTTTATTAATGGTCTAATACGTTTGTGTTTAAACTACAATGACTCCAACTGGTATTATTTTAATCCAGATGCTTGAAGTCAGACAGACTACACTATAGCTTTGTGAGATAAAGTAAGACAAACATCAAATCATTCTGTTTTTAATCTAATCTGCTAAATCAAACTGTTTCATTAGATCTGCTTTAATTGCTTTCTGTTTTTTTCTCAGCTGGTTCAGGCTTCCCCAGTGTGTCACATTTTCTTTTTAAAAAGCTGACTGAATGACCAACAGGATGGCATTTCCTAAATGCAGACCTACATACATATAATATAGAATGCAACAATGAATATATTGTATAGTAAAAAAGCCTAATTATATGAAACATTGAATATTCTGAAGAAACCCAAAGAACACTTATTTTCATTCATGCATATACAAGTATATCAGATCTGTATTGCCCAGACAAACAGAAATTACTAAAAACCTTAGCATCACAATGAAAATAATTCATAGTCGTTCACTACAGGTAGAAAGCCTTTCTACAGTAACAAAAGAATTAACCATTTTGGACGATACTTGATTAGCCAAAAGCAAAAACATCCTAAACCTCTGAAGAATCTATGTTTCTCTCCTCTGTATTTTCATTTATTCAGAGTATTGAGCTCATTACTGGTTCTCATTCAAAATAATCTAACCGTTCCTCTGTTTCCTTCACTGAAAAGCAGGCATCTTTTATTCTAATCAATGAAGAACTTAAGCAGTACCATGTATCCGGCAGTGAAATAAACCTCTGCAAATTGGAAATTCATTAATGGGTACTATACAACACTGAATAATCCAAGCTACTGGCTTTCCAGGTCGATTTTTTTTTTTTTAAATATTTCCGCTATCATGGTCAATTATATGTAAATACCTTATGAATGTTACCATAAATCTTGTTTAAATTGGCTAACTTACTAAGAGTTGATTATCTTAAATCTGTGAAGTAAACAAGAAGACTGCATATTACAGACAGTAGCTCAGCATAAAAAATGTGATATGCCCTTGAACTTATAACACCGCAGTAAGCAATTACCTTAAAGAAGCCACCCACACAACAGAACTATGGCTTTGTTCCTTATCTTCAAAGAACAAGCCACTTGCATCTGGATCAAATCCTTTAAACAATACACGAACACCAAACATCAAAGCACTTTCATTTTCTTCAGTTACTTAATTTAATTAGAGCTAATACAGACATGAATTTAGACACTGATTACTGTGTAGAAAATCCCCAGAAAACATGTTCAAGAAATTAATCAATTTGGTTTTAATTTTATAAAGATTTTTCCCCCAGTACCTGACAGGAGCGCCTCTGCTCTGTGCAGGTTTCAGCAAGACTGTCACAGTGCTGTCAGTTTGATTCAAAGGTGTTTCAAGTTCATATGGTGGCATAGAGGGTGCTAGAATAAGAAAAGAAAAGAGGCAAAAAACAATCATTATTCCTGAATTTCTTCTTTCAAGAGCTGTATCTTTATTTGAATAAGTAATTTTAAAGACTTCTTCAAATATAAAGACCATATTGTAGGTCTAAGATGCTTTCTGTTACAACACAAGTGTCAGGCAATTGTAAAATAACTTCAGAAAAAAAACCCCAAACCACAACAAACCAAAAACTAACCCCTAAAACACCAAACAAAGAAATCCCAGCTCACTGCCAATTTCAAGACAGGGAACAGATACTAGGAGGAGTAAGTTTGCAGAAAGTATTGAGAATCCATGACTTGGAAATGAAAAGTTATCTCAAGAAAAGCATCTGCAAATGTGCATGCTGAAGTGACTACAGTTTTTGAAACTGAGCCCAGCCTTCTCAGCATGTCAGTGGTATCAGGATGCACTCTCAGAATTTGTCATTCCTGGAATTTTAACTAGTGCTGTAACTGTCCTGGGTCTATTGTCCACCACAGACATAATTTACAATAATGAAGCAGGATTATCACCACGACAGCTTATCTCGGTTAGAAGTCACACTCAATAGCACTTTTGCAAACTGTGTCTTCATTAAGGAATTACACTTGTGATTAAAACAAACGATGCCTCAGTTATTGTCCTTTACTGCTGCTATGTTTTACAGTTCTATCATCTATTTGCATTTTTATCATTATATTGGATGGAAGGCTGGTCGGTTAATTGGTTGTTTAGCAGTCTGTTGTATCCTTACTGTCCAGCTGTTAATGATGATACACAATTAACAGATAAGTAATTTAAGTAATTTGGGTACCCACTTTGAGAAGTCTAAAGGCAAAATATTGCACAGTAGTTTAAAGATTCAAACATAATTTTCACATATTTCAGTTTTGCAGTTTTGAATACCCAGAACTTGTTCATATAATGCCCCATTCTCAAGTTGACCATCCTGAAAACAAGGGAAGCACAGAGTAACTGCATCTCCAAAAAGCTGTATGAACTCTGAACGTTTTTGGAATGCTGTGTCATTTCTTGCCCTTGGTCTCCTGCCCACATCTTAACAAGTCTTGTAATCTTCCTAACGTATGACTCCTAGGTCCCTACTTGCACTCTTTACTAATCTTAGTCTCCCTCCACCAAAATTGTCTTCCTGTCCAGGATATGAGTTGTGGTTCTCCTGGTCCCACCTTTCAGTCCTGGCTACTTTTTCTCTTCTCCATAGATACTTGGACATTATCTATTCTTATACTTTTCTCCTGTCTAGGTTAGGACTCTTCTTCCTCCACGTAGCCCACATGTAAAGACGGAGCTTATCAATAAACAGAGAAAACAGGAGATACTCTTCCTGTTCACAGTTTTATAACTGCACACCCTGGTCTTCAGCAGCAGAAAGCTCACATGCACTAAAAGGTAAGGCCCTTAGAGACTTGCTGTCTCTGTTGGACCATGCTGAGTTGATGAACACACGGGCAAGGCTCGAAAAGCTGGAGAACTTAAATCTCATTAGTGAGTATGGCATCTATGGTGACGTTGGCTGCTCAATTCTGTCAAGGTTCCACCATTTGCGTGCAAATGGCAACATTTACAAATTGCTCAAATCTGAATAGATTTTCAGAGTGATGGCTCAGAGCAATGTCTCCCTTGTTGCTAAATATTTAAATCCCTGTTTGAAAGCACTTCAGTAATGTATTGGTCACCAGAAATTTTCATGATGTCAGCCATGTTCCTGAAATGGATTAAATTCTTCTTAGTATGAAAGGCAGCATACAAAATTTCAGCCTGCACAGTTCACTTTTCATAAAGTTATATGCAACTCTTCTAATAGAGCGCACATCAATTTTGATAGCATGCACTGCTGCAAGCTCTGCTTTTGGTAATACATATTTACATACAGATCATCAGTGCCAATCACACAACTGTAGAATGAAACATGGTAACTATTTACAGTATGGAGTAGTACTACTCAAATGTTTAAGACAGGGAATCAAGAGTATGTTATTCAGATGAAAATGCAGTTTAGAGTTAGACAAAGTAAAATGCAACGACTCCATTCAGAAATTGGTCAGAATGCACTGTTGCCACCTCATCTGTTCTAAAAAATAGGGAAATTCTTCATCCATGAATGTTCAGCAGTTTTGTTTCACATCTCTCCAAAATGGAGAGCACTGGCCACACCAGTAGCCTCCAAGTCTTACAGTGAGACAGAGATCACAGGCCAATAGCACCACAAAGAGGGTACCACATTCAACAGCTAAAATCCAGTTGTGATTTTTCAAGGATATTAAGAAATGTACACATTCTGCTTCTACTTCAAATTCACCAAGAGATTGGCTGCAACTACCCACGGACAAGTCATAAACATTCCCTGTTAGTACAGTAACTAACACAAAGTAACGAGAGAGTCGAGTGCAGACAAGACGGCTTGCAGAACCTCACCAGATGGGAGCTTGGAGGTTAGTCTTATTCCCAAGCATGCCTGCAGTGTCTGTTCACATTCATGAGTTTTAGTTGGTGACATATCAAATTTAGAAAAGAACAACACTTTAAGATCCAGCACTATTCTCAAATATCCAGATTCTCATCCACGCTGAATATATTGCTTCCTTCCTTCCTCATTCTAGTAAGGGTTGATTCTGCCATCCTAACTCATACCAAGCCTTGCTGTGTCAGAAAGTCATTTCTGACAGAGAAAGTTTCTGCTCAGTATAGGAAAGGGGATGGAAAATGAACCCCATCTTTACTGATCAGTGTTAACTATGTTTAGAATTTCCATAGAGAAGAATTCTCTAACTTGAAAATTAACGACTTTTTGTTGTCCTCTACAAACATCTGTATTGGCAATCATTTCCACCTTGCATTAACCACTCCTTCCTATAATAAGAAAAAATAAATTGCTCTATTTCTGATTAACACGTGTTACTTTTTTGTATTCCAGTGAGGACAGAAAATGAGTGATGAGGAAAAGTACACAGAATGAGAGTAAATAGAAAGAAGTTTTTGTACCCAAATGCTTTCCTTTATCCTTTCTGAAAAGCACAGTTGACCGCAAACAGATAAGGCAATTTTCTATAAACATTATCAAGGGGCCATAGTCCAACTGTCAGTTTAATTCCCAAGAAGATTGTAGAGAAATGAAGAGTAAAGGGATTTCAACTGTAACTTTGCAAAACATTTTGTCATCAATTACATAAGCATTTTAGAGGATGTAATATTATCGCATCCCATCAGCTAGAGAAATGAAGTGTTCCTCTGCCTCGGGGAGGGCTTTAAAGTATCGTTCACAAAACTGCAGAAGTGACAGAGCCATGCTGCTGTTATCTGCAAACCACTAGTCCTGATGTTCTTGTCTAATACAGTTTCATACCCAGTTCAGCCCACACGCCTGCTAGGAACACACGCCGGCTGGCAGCTAGCTACACTTTCTAAGTGAGCGCGAGACATACAGTATTTCTGCTCTACTCTCAACTGTTCATGGCTCATTAAAGAGATTTTCCAGCACTGTTACTGTACTAATTTTGAATCACATCAAGGCTGACTAAGCTCTGAATGAAACCCTCGTCCTCATGTCCAAAAAACCCTATGCTAAATGTTGGAACAGCATCTGGCACTGACTGCAGGCACATAATTCATAGGGTTTCTTGGGTGATAAGTTACAGTTGTGAACAGGAATTTCAAAGTACTAGCTGATATTTAAGCACTTGGAAGCTTTTCAGATATGTTAATATATGTCACTTTGACATCCCTAGGATGAACATGTATTTCACTTTTTCAATTTGCTGGTTGCTAAATCCTAAAGAAGTAGTAAACAACAAAAGCATTACCCATGTCATTATCATAAGCAAATAATAATATTCTTTAATCAAGTACCTGATATTTTAGTGGTGAATTGATTTGTGATTGGAGGTCCAAAGCCTTTAGCTGTGCTGGCTCTGATGGTAAAGGAGTAGGTAGTGCCAGGATATAGTCCAAAAAAGAGATAGTGCGTTTCATTTCCTAGCTTTGAGACACGTCCACTTTGATTGGATAAATCTATTTCTGGGTCAAAGGAACTGACTGCTTTGTAGGTGATCTGCAAAAGAAGAAGAAAGTTATAAACTGCCTTGAGCAGATGGACAGTGATTGCATCTTTATCCAGTAAACCCTCCTGATGTATGCGCTGTCAGACATTTTATGATAAGCTATCTTACTCTCTTCTACTCTTCAAATCCCGAATCCCATGAAGGGACACAGAAACTCAGTCATAACTGCTATGAGTTATTACTTTTATAGATACAGAGACTTAGAGGCAGCTAGATTACAACTCTAAAGGATGGGTTCAGGCTTAACATTAATTCCTTCAAGATGTTGGCTTTAAGAGTGCCATTTTTTGAATTCATCTTACTGTTGGTTTTGGTCAGCAACAATAACAAAACCAAAACAACCAGGCAAAACCAGATAAGCGAATAACAGAAGGTGCAGTCCCCAGTTCCAGTTGACTTCACTATAATTACACTTTGCTCTGAATAAGATTATCCGCAAAAGATGATAAGGGCAGCTTAAGGCAAATTTTTCAGAAAGTGGGTATTTTAGTCTGAAGCTTAGCTATTGTAATTGCTAATTTGGAATTTTTCAGGTTATTATATTGTACCTAGGTCAGATTCTCATTTGGAGGAAAGGAGAGATAAAATGTTAAGTAATATATGCAGAGTGTATATTGTATCCCCAGTTCCTTCTTTGATTCAAATAGTATTTTTAGTTTTCATTAGAAATGTTAATATAAGTTCACAGCAAAACTTGATCCAGATTTCTTCTATTAATTACTAATTTCCATGCACTGTAATGAGAATTTAAAAATAAGAAATCCATTAAAAAATTAAGAAGTAAAAATTATTCATCCCTCCTTTTTACTTCTAAAGTTTCATTTGTATGTGAATAATTCCAACACTCTTATTATATAAAGTGATAATTGACATTCTTTTTGCTATATTTATTCCATATCATTATAATCAGGAAGACACATAAAACAATACATAGAAACATCAAAGTGTCGGCATTATACACCTTAAACACTTGCAATTTCCTAAAATCTCTGACCTAATGAAAATTGACTTTTATATGACCCATATAATATAACATCAATAAAGTGCTGAAAATTAGTAATAAAAACTCTGATACCATCTAGATAAACCCTGACATTATTTTGGGAGATATACACAGATCCTCTACAACTCCTCATCCATAAATTGAACTGAAAGTGCCTTAAAAACCGCTCAATGAACCCTCCTAATTATAGCAGAAGACAGACGATTACACTACCAAATACCTGAACTTTTATCAGTAAAGAAATACATATTGCCCCAAAGAATCTCCCTTTCTGATGCTGAGAGTTGTTATGACTGCCTGTGGGAGAGTGGCTCGTAACTCTTTCTGGAGATTTTAAAAGACAGGTAAGACAACCACATCGCAACTATGTTTTATATACAGTTGATCCTGTTTTGCTGCAGATACGTGAACTAAATGACCCCTTGCATCTCCCTTTAACTCTCTTTTCTGTATTTCTATGATTCTTAACTGGATTTTCCAAAATTTCACTTAAGTTTTATTCAAAATAACACCAGGCTATCAGAGACTCTGCAGTCTATATTAGATTCTTATAATTTTTGCAGTGTTCAGTTATTAGAAAGCTAAGTGGCTGACGTTCTGTAGTGAAATAAATTCTTCCATGGATCATGCAGAACACATGAGAAAAGTGTTTTGCCTGTTCAAAATGAACTTGCACTGTTTCTGTATTTCACTCCTACTTGTAAGACTGTTCCTATCTTCTTTTTTTTTTTTTTTAAACTGAATTCTTATGTCCACCATTGCTAATGCCAGTTCAGCTTCACAGGGATGAAAAAAATAGGGCATGAGGATAATTTTCTCACTGGATGTTGACTGTTTTTATCAAATTTAGACAAAATCTTGCCCAAAGGACTAATCTCCTTATTCCTACAACTGTGGACTTGTACTAGTGATAGAGGAGCAAAATGGTATAATTTGTCATTATGTCATTTCTTCATCCAAAGGCTTTTTTCTTTATATATTGGCAAAATAATTGGATTTGCCCTTATTTTCACAATAGCAACGAATACTTTAATACTCGATCCTTCAGCACACAGTTTTTCCCACCACATATATTAAAAGACTGCCTTCTTCAGGCACTAAAACCAAATGCCTGGCCCCAGAAAACAGACAAAGTTATGAGATTTTTTTAACACCACAGAAAGGTAGGCACTCAGAGTAAGAAACACCAGACACAGAGGTGAGACTGAGCTTTCTCTCTGGCAGCAGTGATGCAGACTCAGGACTGCACATGAAGTTCATCCATCTGCTGGGATCCGGATCCTGGGACCTCCTGCTGAAAGAAGGTCTCTGCTGCTGTAGTCTTAAGGCTGCCCGTATAAAAAGCAGCTACCCACTGAAGAGCCTGCCCTGGGAAGAGCAACCTTGCCCTAGGTCTGACTCAGGCTTATGTATTTGCAGCTTTGCCTCACCCAAGCGGTGTGTCTTCAACTCTAGACTAAAGTACCCAGCACCCTCGTACTTGCTTTCCTCCTGGCACTACAATTCTCTCACCCCTGGTTGCGTACAGCCCAGCGGCGGGTGGCAGGTGAACGGAAGGAGCATTCACCCCTTGCTGCGGCTCTGTGCCCCAGTCACTCCCCTGCAGGCAGATTATCATGAATTGGGGAATCCCTCAGGCTGAATTGTCCCCTACCCAGGCCCCCCCTTTACTAGGTCAGTGCTCATGGGCTCATCTCTGAAAGGTGAATGCAGTTTTCAGAAGCGTACCAAATACGGCATATGTTTGGATAAGAGCAGCTTTAGTGACTATGTTTTTTAGATCAGAATTGTTGATGTACACACAGCTGAGGCTTAGATGCCTCTTTGTCTAAGCTTTGACTTGGAACAAGGTGTAGGCAGGAGCTAGACACCTCACTTCTCAAGCCTGGGTGACTTGGAGCTGTGCCGGATGCGTTACCTTGACAGCACAACAATCAGCCAGAGCGGTGCTGAGACACCATGGATAGTCTAAATCAACATATAAACCACACGTACCTAAATTTCACCTAATTTGCCTGGATCTTACCCTGTTAGCTACTTCAGTTAGCTAAAATATACCTGAAGTATACTTTTATATTTCACCTGAGGCACACATTTAAAATAGGTAAAATGTCCCTGTGATTCACTGTGTACATTTGCTGTCCTCCAGGTAGTTTACCAGTCATATTTATAAAAACTTCATGATACATTTTAAACCTATAAGCAAACATCAGGGCAGAAAAAGTACTGACAAACACGCTTTCATCAACTAGGTCTCTGTTCGTATTCATCCAACTGACTGGACTGAGTTGGCATCTTTAAAACAAGGTACGGTTTGGTTGCATCAGTCTGTTGGTACCTTTTACTTAAAAATTAATTAAGTCAAGTTTCTGATTTAACTGATTGCCTTGCTCCCTCTGACTCCGCTTTGAGGTGTATTAGCTAAATGGTATAAGGAGATATCCGTGTTTCTTTTCTTTTCAGTATTCTCTTCACTGTTGGAATGCTAGGTTCTTTTGATGTTCAGAGACTTGCACAGGTCCTGGCTACCTTAGAAAGTCTGGCCAAGCTGTTCTTTTCTGTCTCTGAATACACCCGCACAACTCCTATTACAGCTGATGGAGTGACGCATGTACATACATTTAAGAATGAACTGCACGTATACAGTGCATATACTCCTCAGCAATGTAATCAGACATGCATACATGTTCATAAGTAGAAAGATGATTCACCACAGTGTGTTTCTATGTACATAAAGCCTAACATCAATAAAAACATTAACATTAACCAAAACATTCTGATCCCTGAAGACAGGTAACTGTTGAACTAGCTGGAAGGTAGTTAGCTTTATAAGAAATCAATTCATACTTTTCATAACATTTTATCTCTTACAATAAAATAGTTCTCAAAACAGTATCAATAGGTTACCATTCAATTTAACTTTTCTTTTACACCGTATCTCATTTAGGTGGGTTTTTTTTTGAAACAAAGCATTTCAATACCAATTTTGTAGTGAGGTCAGGTAAGAAGCTTAACAGTGATTACTGTCTGACAGCTTAATCTGTGCAGTCTTTTGTCAATTTTTCTAAAAGGTATTCAGGCAGAGGTTCCACACGAGGAAAAGCAGCGATTTTTAGACATCTAACAACATACAATTTTGTTCAATTTGCATTTAAAAAATGCTAGGGTTTTTTTAAATTATGCCTGCTTGTTTCTATTACAATAGATTTCCGGTAATGAGTCTTATCTAAATGTGATGTTGACTGTCACCACTGTGTTATGTCTCCTATTTTTTAAAAAATTCACTAGGATCTGTCTTTCAATTTTTTAAATATTTGATCCATCCACAGTACTAGATAGAATGCTATATCACACAGGTCTAAAAATAGCCGTTTCCTTAAAGCTGATAACCCAGGGACATTTTGGGTCCTGCACCATTCACTCCCACTTTATACATCTGATTTTATTACTTTGTAAGTGCTACTATCTTCAAAAAGAAGATTCATTTTACACAAACTGGGAAAAAAAGTTTTCTTACGAATTATGCACTTTTGAAAATCAAAACTATACATAACAATTAAAACATGGCAAAATGCTAGGTACCTCATACAAAGTAATCACACCATATGTTTGTGCTGGCTCTCTCCACTGAAGAAAAATCTTCTCTTCAAAGGTACTCCCTTGAATGGATTCAAGTGGTACGGCACTCGGGACTAATGGATAAAAAAAGGAAAAAATGCTCTTTTGAGAAAAATTTCAGAAGGAGACACTCTGCTCAAAATTTGCGCTGTTGAGGCATAAAACCCATCCCATCAAGACTGAAGCAAAGGCCAGGGTAGCTCGGCTTATTTAACATGATAGTGCCATTAAGGAAACTTCTGTGTCACCTTCAGTGTAAGAAGGAATTAGTGAGCACCGCACTTGTCCTGTAAAACACTACAGATGAAAGAAAACAACAAATCAGCTTTTTATACGGTATTAGGCAATATCTCAAATATGAATTCTTGTAAATAAAATCTACTTGTGGTATCTCCTTATCAATAGTATTACTGTCCCATAGTGAAAAACATATTAAACATTCATATATGAAAATGGACAAGCACTGAAGTAACAAGTTATAGTTTCTACAGACTGAACTAGAACGGTCAGCTTGGAAAGACAAGCCACATGTTGCATAGAACAGCGATGCTCACTACTGTTAGCACTGAAGACCTACAACAGGGTGAGCATAGGGAAATTATGAAACAGCCAAACTGAAAATCTGACTTTATTCATTTTTCCTAAAGTCTCTTAATTTATAAGAACGACCTCTGAAGAGTCAGGGATGCCAGAAGGTTCTGATAGAAGGTTCTGAAGACGTCAACTGCTCTCAGGTACCTACTTCTGTTTCCTGTTTGTCCTACAACAATTACCTTATCCCCGAGCCAACCTCAATGCAGTTTTCAGAGAAGATGATGTGTAAAGAGCACCTGGGCATGTATCTGCAATTTTATTTTTGTAACAACACTTGCAATGGAATGTGAAAAGCAAATCCTGAAAAATGCACACAGGACTGTTGTGAGGCAACAGGCATTGATGGGTTAGCATGTTTCCACAAACTATACGTGAAAACCCAGCAAGAACGTTTTCCACATGCTAGAGAAAGGAGGTGGAAACTACTTGCTGCAGTGGTTGAAATAGCTTCTCAGACTGAGATTTACCCAAAGGGTTAAAGAATAAGAAGATCTGCAAGCAAGACACCTGGTGACTCCTTCCTGTTGCCAGGTCTGGTAGAGCATCGTCCTCCTCCTACTGCTCCTTGCTGTTGGTCTGGGAGTTTACATGATTTGAGACTTCATAATCACCTCTCCATACCTGCCCACAGAGTCCCCTGCTCTGCCAAGGGGAAGCTCCAAGGACACAGGTGATGGTTTCTGAACTGGCTTACCAGTCCTGTATGGACAAGTAAGATTACATCTTTAGGCCAACCTTAAGTCTGGGCACTAAACCTTTCCTTCCAAGTAGGAGAGAACTGGCAAACTCATTTGGAATAATGGGGTTAATGACTTCTGTGTAAAGGGAGAGGAATTAAATATAGCGTAAATAAGTTGGAAGTATATCAAAACACTGTGGTAACCCTCTAAAATTATCTGAAGGCCATAAATTCTGAGCAGCTATGCTATGAGGGAGGTCAAACAGTGGCAGAGGTTACCTAAAGAGGTTGTGGGATATCCACCTTTGGAGATACTCAAAACTCAACTGTACAAGACCTTGAGCAATCTGCTCTCACTCGATCTGCTCTGAGCAAAAGGTTGGCCTAAATGAGCTCTGGAGGTCCCTTGAAACCTACATGACTGTGTGATCCGAAAAATTATGATGATTATTTGGGTCAGTATACTCTGTTGTGTTACATCCACATTTATGTAGCTTACTGAAAGTGTACGGTATACTAAAAAGTTATAATTTTTGTCCAAGGTATTCTCTCAACCACTGATGCTGGTTTTTAATAGGTCTTGGAACAACATAAAGCTCCAGAGGGCCAGCAATAAGAAAATATCATGCAAAATTTTAGAGAAAATACATGAACGGCCCAAATAACAATAAGGCCTTTAGCTTTGTCATCCTACAATTGAACTGAATAAACATTAGAGGATGACAGCAAAGTTAATTCCAATTAAACAATTTTTTGGTAGCTATGCTTTGTCAAATCTGTTACATTAGCAACTATACATTCCTAAATTGTTTAATTTATTCTCTCATATATTTTGATTAGAAACTAGCACTACACAAAACCAATACAGCATATATTCGATGATTTAATAGGTTTAAGTAACAGACTTCAAGTATTTATTATAAGAGGAACTCATCATTGCTGAAGTTCTTCCTAGAAATCTTTCCAATGTGCTTGCAGTAAATCTATCATTGATCTGGAAGAAAATACAAAGCCATTCCTGTTCAGATTGCAGACGATAAAAACGGGAGGAGGAGAGATTGGTTCTATTAAGCAATGTCAGTCATTTGATAAGGTTTCTTTGAACAGTATGCATTTTAAAATGGCTAAAGGCAAGGTCAAAAGAACTAAGGTACACTTGCAGAGGGCACTAAGGGGCTCTACCCCAGCACAGGGTGTTCTGGAAAGGTGAAACTGATTCCTGGTGCATGACCAATTCAACAAGGAAGTCCCATTTTGGGATTGTAGCTTACACAGTTCCAGTAAACTCTCTGCATGTATAATCACAATAATATAACCTTCTCATGCAATGTTATTAGAGCATTACAGAGATACAGTAGCCAGTTCTGCTGTCCATGTTTCAAAAAAAAAAGACACTCAGACATTACATTATTGCTCAAAATAAAAAAGAGATCTGAAAACCCTATGTTAGCTGAAAATTACTAAAAGGAAAGGAATAGCTATATATTTCAGTGTCTGTATATGGAATATGTTGTCTTGAATAAGTAACTAACAGCGTCTAGCAGTAGGAAAGCCAAAGCTAGAGAAATTGTAACTGCAAATCAAGAACAAATATTTAATGTTGAGCATATTATTCAATAGAAAAGCTTACGTGAGGATACTGGGGACAATCACCTGAAATTTTGTCAAACTGATACTGGAATTTTTAAGAGGCAGAACACAGTTCAAGCACAAGTTACGAGTTTAATGAAGAAATGATTAAAGGATGTGTGATGTTATAGGTTATGTAAAAGATCATTGTAACACTTTTAATGGACCCTTTACTGCCTTAAAATTGGTGAAGTTGCTGGCAAAACTGTTACAGATTTTAAAGTGGAACATGCATTTACATAGAAAAGTGTATTGACTATTGGGTAGTAGGCATGTACAATGTATATGTATATGTAAATATAAAAACTCACCATCTTCATCAGTTTGTACTACAAGTTCTTGGCTTTCTTTTCGTCCTTCTGGATTCATTAGCACTAATTTGATGCTGACATTTGTGTAGGGTGATAGGTTAGTAATTGTGTGCTGGGGATGTGAACTTTCTGTATCCCAGCTGACTTCTTCTCTCACTTGCTCTTGTCCTCCAGCCTGGTAACGGTAATGGACTGTGAGGTTGTATCGATGGCAACGTGTGACATTATATCCAAATGGTTCCCAGCAAATAGTGATTTGTCTAGATTTGATTTCCACAACCTCTAGTTTTCGTGGCCCACGCATTGGATCTGCAAAATTACCAACATAATTCTGGTATGATTATTTATTCATACTATAATAGTAGGTAACATGAGTAATCGGAAGTTATACAGTTCTATAAATACGATATATAAGGAGAAACAGAAATTCATTGCTTTCTCTTTCATAGTGCAAATGACAATAAAAGCACAGGTCTCTGAAAAATCAGGAGAAAAATCACGAAAAAAAAGAGAGAAGTAAGTGTCCTTGATGAAAAATGAAGAGCAAACAAAATACCAGAAAGTTTTTATGCTTAAACTCAAAGTGCATGATACCGTTGAAATGACAGTTACTTTTTTACCTATCTGTTGCTTGCCAAAAAGAAATGTTAATTTTTTTTTTACAAATTAATTTGTGTTAACACTTTCAGAGCAAAAACCTTCACAAAACAAGTATCTAAAAAGAAAAGGTAATTTTAGGGAAAACGTGTAAAAACACAATGATTTCCTCCCAGGACTGTTAATACAAAGAAAACATATTAGGTGGTTCTTCAGCTATTTCTTGTTTATTTGTTTTTAAGTTAGACGGAATGCAATTACTCAATTTCTATTTGGTCAGGACATTAAGTTAATATTCCAGTTCCTTTAAAATAGTCCATAGGGTTCTCTTCCTAGAAACATTAGTTGTTAATAGTTTCTTCCTTTCTTTCTTCTTTTTTACCACATCTGAGACAGTGCAAATACCTCGGTTTGTATTGGTGGTTTACCAAAGAACCAAAAGAAACAGACAGGAGGCACATCAGCCGATATCCTACTGCATTTGTGCTTTCCTGGAGATCTCCCAGTTGATAACCAGTCATAAATCACATCTAACAAAATCATAACCAAGAACTTATGGCTATCTATATACCAAAGGCTGTGGTTGATGGAGTTCAATTTTCTTCAGTTGTACTGGTCCCAGCAACTGAGACAGAAAAGTGAACCCGAATTTCCACCATATTACAGCAAAACCACTGAGTTGACACACACCTCACATTTTCAAAACACTGTCATTAATAGAGTTATTATACATATTTAGCAATAATCTGTTTTTTTTTTCATATTGGAGCCCTCAACAAGATTAAAGACAATGTCTCGTTTTATCCACTGCTTCACTAGTTAGATGCTTAGAAGACTTTTAATGAGCTAGAAGCCTCTTATACGTAAACAAATTAATATGCATCTTCCCTCTTTTATGTTTATTAATCAACATGTCTTCACTAGGAATGTTCTAAACAATTTACACAGGATTTCATCTTTTTACTTTTTAATAAAATTCCTGCATGCTTGAAATACTTGTTCAAAGATGTTATTCATCTCAACTCCTTGGAGAAAAGGTGTTAAGAAATTGCTTGTTCTCTCTAACATCTACAAAGCAAGGTATTTTTTTCCCCTCTTAAATCCTCCAGCTTCCTTTTTTTTTTTTTTTTTTAAATTAATTGCCACTACCCAACAGTGTTGATCACAAATGTAGAATCTTTGCCAAATGGTGACAAAATGGCAAAGCAAACCAAATTCAATAACAGATCTAATCCTGGTCTCCTTTGATCACAAATGTAGAATCTTTGCCAAATGGTGACAAAATGGCAAAGCAAACCAAATTCAATAACAGATCTAATCCTAGTCTCCTTTCCAGTGACTAGGGTGACTGGTAAAACTGTCCTCACCAAGGATAAATCACTACAGAGCCATTTACCTGCTTCCACGCTCAGATACCCCTGCTAAGAATCCTGGTGTTTGGGGTGTTTGGGATATTTTCTGTTACTACCACAATTAAGGTTAATGAGAAGCAAAGACTGGCAAGTCTTAAGAGTTTCACGTCTTGCTTAAGCATTTATTTCTGCAAAATTCAGGCAAAAATTTAATGAAAAAGGAGTTTTCCTTTTTTTGGTTTCATACCAGCTTCTAAGCATTTCTTCATTTAGGTGAGATTATGAATAGCAAAGGACATTTGATGGGTATTGTGTAACCGCAAGGCTATCTGAATGGGCTAAATAGGACTAGAAAATCAACAAAATTGAGGTGACCCTGACATACAACATTAAGCAGTTGAACAAAGCTCCTAGCTGCGAGAATATGGAACAGCCTGCTTAGTTCCATAGTAGGCACATCAGAAAATTCACAGGGGAGCTGAGAAATCATTTTATTGGGGACATAAAACTAATTCGTAGTATTTTAAAACTGAAATTGAGTGACTGTGCGAAAAAAAAGGGATCAAAACCTAGCCAAGATTTCTGCCCAGGAGAAGGATATTCTTATGGCACGTTACCTTAATAAAAAGTACAAGTTAGCCCTCCAGTTAAATCTTGAAGTCATTGCTATGACAATCACAGATACATTTTCACTTCTAACAAAACAGACAAGGGAAAAAAGAGATTAGATTGTAAAAGACGGAGACAATACAGCTTTTGCTTATATTCACAGGATAAAGCTCATCTGACGAGGCAAACAGCCTGGTTGCTTTGGTTCCTGACTTGATTCTGTGATCTATAGTATCAGACAGCTACACAGCTCATATCTGGTTTTCTTACCATTCACTCAGAGATTATGCAACCAACAGTGCCCTAATGACCCCTTCGTGGGGTAAGCGTAGTGTGTCTCAACCGGTCGACGTGTCGACCAGCCAATGACAGCACTTAGTGGAAAGAAAGGGAGAGGTAGGATATATAAAAACCCCTGGGGCACAGCAGAGAAGGACATATAAGGAAAAATAAAGTAAGATCTTATATGATGCACCAGGTGGGATAACCACTGGTTTATGGGGGATGTCCACTGAGAAAGTGAGGTTGAATATTCCAGAGAGGCTTGTCCATCAAAGAGCCTCTGAAGATCCAGGCCTGTACTCCAAAGAATTTACCCACTTTGTGTCCCCAACCTCACTTTTAAATTCTCAAAATGGACACGGTTAGTGGAACAGGGGATGTTTTATTATTTCTTTCATCAAATAAACCTAATTCCTGAAGTATCACTACTTTATTTGCTTTATTTTATTTTTCTTTACAATACCACACTTCTTTCATGTATCAGACATGACTTCATTACAGACCTGAGGATATCAGTTCTCATCTGCTCTATATAGTTGAGTTCTCACTCATGGCAGATCTATACGCTTCAAGTATATGACAAATTTTGGTGAAGTTTGGCTAATTCATACAGTAAGTGTGAAAGAGATGAAGGGAAACATGTCTACTTTTAACCAGAAAAAAAGGTTAAGGTAACAACAGAATTTTTGGATTAAGAAAACATGTGGCTCAAAACAGTCATGAAAAATATCAGTTATTGCAACAAAAGATAGAAAAAGAAGTTTCCATTTGACCAAGTTAGCAGTGAGCTTCTCTGGAGGTATCATTGTATACCCCAGGGGAAATATTTAATGTGATATGGTTCTGAGAGCACAGTACATCACTTCCAATGCACTGCAAAGTATATACTCTTCATCATGAAGGATGCAGGATACTTGGGGAATGAAAACTGTTAAGCAACACAAAAAGAATGACAGCCAATGACTACGGTTTAAAAGGGAAAGCTGAATTAATTACCACAACACGATGACTTCATTTAGTTGATTTTATTTTCTACACGATCTTTTTATCACTTTTCCACGTTAAGTTCCCAACTTTAAGTGAAAAAGTAAGAACTCTAGAGAGATGCTGCGGTTGTGCTCATGAGACTTTTAGTACCTATCCACATAGTACTCGAAGGTTGCCATCCTAGCAATGGTCTGCTGTTGTTACCTGGCATCAGGTAAGGTAAGGGATAGCGATGTAGGGAAGTGTCATTTCACAGTGCTAATACCAACAGAAATCAGCTTTTTTTAGCACAGAAGATGAACAAGGAGATTAATATGCCATATCAATTATATTATATGCAACATATACACCTCCTACCACAACAGCTATTTGCTGAACCTTTGTTTTTTCCTTACTTGGCAAAGGCCTGCCTGCAGAGATGTTATACAGCCAGACCTCTCCACTTACTCTGCAGGTCTCTAGATCAACTGAGCCTCTGCTCTTCCTCAGTATTCCAGCCATTTTCTTATGCCTCACTGGTACCAATCATGAGGCAAATGGGGAAAATAAGGCCTACCAGTTCATAAGAGAAGAGGTTTTCGTCCCAAAGGAGCACACTGCCTGTCACGCCTGAAGCTTAGCCCAGCAGTTCTTACCAATTCCCCAGCTGGTGCCTGCAGCAGTTTTCGTACCGCTCTCCTTCTGCCAGCTTCAGCAGGGTATCGAGCGGTGAAGTCTGACAGTTGCAGCTCTGACCTGAGGGACCAGCAAGCCCGGTTCTAGCCTCTGGCACTTTAGCATCCCATTTAATCGGTGATCTTGGCTCCTTCTCTGCTCCGCTCTGTTTGCCTGAAAATATGGAGCAGAGACTGACAGACAGGATCCGTTTCCACTGCAGCTGCAATTCACAGCTCATTTCTCTGGAACGTCACACTTTGCCTCTTACCACAAGTACAATGCTTTTTCAGAAACTCAATTTCAGAGTCACAGAGACATTTAGGTGTATTTTTGGCACCTCGTCATTGATCATCAAAACCTGGGTTTACAATGAAAACTCAGACTGGACGTTTTGTCTTTTCACCACAGACTGCACAGACCTACTGAAACAGGAGATGAAGAAAGGAACAGCAGGGTGATGTTCTGCCACTCCATGATACTTCAGTAGCTGCAGACATCTGGTGTGTGTTAGATACTACTCAAAAGGTATCTGAACAACAGGAATGAAGAACTTACTCCTTGTCTAGGCAAACTATTAGTGTCGTTTAGCCCTGTAACAACTCTTGTGATTTTAATTCCAGACTAGACTCTATTGTCCTTCCACGGGAAGTGAAGGATGAACAGAACAACAAAATATACAAATTTAAAATGAAAACTGAATCACTTCAGATTTAAGGTATTATCCACTACAGCTCTCTTAAACACAAAAGTTAATTAACGATAATTAAATGTACAGACTTTGCCACAGATTGCCTAAGCAGTCTTGTTCAAATCACTTAACATCTTTTCA